CTCCCCCGCCGCACGCGGCCAGCGCTCAGCTAACAGAAATAGCCGCCCCCGCCCCGCCCCGCCCCGCGGCGCAGCGCTCGCCTCTGCCTTGGCCGCCGCTGCGGGAGGCGGGAGGCGGTTAGCGGGAGGCGGTTGGCGGGAGGGGCCCGCCAGTAGCTCTGTGGTCTCGGCCCGGCGCCAGCCCTGCAGACGGCCCATCACCGGCTTGCACACTCCCACAGACGGGAAGCTCACCACCTATCACCGGACAGCCTCTCCCTATGATTCCTGTGGGCCTCAACCCTGCTCGCGAGACACAGGCATGGTAACAGAGAGTCTCAGGTTCGAACCCCACCTCCGTCAGTTCTGCTGCTGTGAGGCCTTAGCCAAGTTACTTGACCTCTCTAAGCCTCAGCTTTCTCATCTGTAGGCATTCAAGGAACAGGAGCTGCTATTGTAGGTCAAGCCAACCAAAGCACTTCCACCCGCACCCTGCTCCGCATGCGGTCCACCCCAAAGCCAGACAGGATATGGAGTGTACCCTATCGCCCCAGGCCTCCTGCCTGCCACCTCCAACCCTCAGGACATCATGGCCAGTTTCCTCATTTTATAGCTACACAGCTGAGGCCCAGAGAGGCAAAGGGACTTGCTGCAGGTCACACGGCCAGTGAATCTGGGATGGAATCAGGACTGACCCCAGACTGGGCAACAGTTCTTACCCAGAATGAAGCTGTGCACAGTTTCTCCCCAGGTAGGTACAAGCTCAGGGTGGGAGAATCTGTAGGAGGACGAGGAGAGTGGCAGAACTTCTCCAAACAGCCAGGAGGCTGCTGGCTCTTGGGAAAGTGACTCACATGTGCAAGACAACCCGGGGTTCAAATCCCTGCCAGGCTGCTTCCTGGCTGTGTGGACTTGGGATAATGACACAACCTCTCTGAGCTATGTTCTTCTCACCCGTAAGATAGGGATAAAATTAATCTTTATTTTATAACACACTTCTTGGGTACCAGTTATTATGGGTTCCTGGGCTCTAGAGTAGCACTGTCCAACAGAACTTTCTGCAATGTTGGAGATTTTATACATCTGCACTGTCCATTATGGTGGCCATCAGTCACATGTGGCTATTGAGCACTTGAAATGTGGCTTAAATGAAATGTGACTTAGTATGATTGAGGAATGGAATACTTATTTCTATTTACTTTTAATTAACTTTAAAGAGCCACCTACAGTTAGTGGCTACCATAGTGGACAGTGCATTTCTGGACAGTAGGGACACAGCAGGGGACTAGACACACACAGCCTCTACCCCTTGGGGGCCATACATTCTAATGGAGGATGTGAGCATTAAGGAAGTAAGTGATTAGATAAGGAAAATAAGAGCTATACAGAAAACAAAAGAGGGTGACGGCATAGAGAGTGCCTGGGTGTGGAGGGGCAACTTGAGCCATGTTACTCAGGGAGGGCCTTTTTTGAGGAAGAGACATTTGGGCTAAGACCTGAACAGAGGAAAGGAGGCAGCTGGGCAAAGTTTTGCAGGAATAGCTCCTCAGACAGAGAGAGAACAGCAAGTGCAAAGGTCCTGAGGTGGGAACAAGTATAGGACGAAGTGAGGTCAGAGAGGTGGGCAGGAGCCAGATCATTTGCAGCCTTTCAGGCCAAGCTGAGGAGTGAGTTAGGATTTTATGTCAAATCTCTAGGGAGCCACTGGAGGGCATTAAGCAAAGAGGTGACGTGACTGGTGTTTTGGAAAGACCCCTGTGACTGCTGAGCAGTCGTGCAGTCAAGTGTGATGGGGGCTGCATGAGGGGAGTAGTGGTGAAGGTGGGAAGAAATGGACAGATTTGGATATGTTATAGAAATAGAATAAATAATGACACAGCCACTTTAGAAAACAGTTTGGCAGTTTCTTATAAAGTATGCTTATCATATGACCCAGCAATTACACTCATAGGTATTTATCCAAGAAAAATGAAAGCATATATTCACACTAATACTTGTACATAAATGTTCATAGCAGCTTTATTTATAATCACCAAAAACAGGTGGGATAAGGATTTGTAAAGACTTTTTTCCTGGAGAGTAGGCCTTTGTTATGGAGAACACTTCGCAGAGGTTACTCTTTGCCTCCCCTTCTCAGAACTCAGAGGGGAGCTCTCTTCATTTTGAGAACCTAGTGAGGTGCCTGGAGGTAAAACCCACAAAAGTGTGGGGAGCTCCCTTAAGGCTGTGGCCCCAGGAGTTTCTCACTCTCCCGCTAGTTCCCAGTCAGCCTCCCTCAATTTGTCAAAATTGCCGTAAAAGTGTTCCTATCAGCTTATGGCTCCAGTGGCTTTTGCTATAGGGAAGCAGATCTCAGCTGTAACTTTCTAGATTCTCCTGCCTCTTTAAATTTTGGGGTGGTGTTTGCCCTTCCACCTGACTTCTCAGTTGGGTCTAAGAAAAGTTGTTGATTTTCAGTTTGTTCAGCCTTTTCTTGTTGCAAGGATGGGAATGATGGCTTCCAAGCTCTTTGTGTGTTGGTGTTAAAACTGGAAGTCCTGTCCTCAATCGTGAAGTCTTCTTTATATGTGGTATATTTATATATGGTATATTTTGCAAACATTTTATCCCAGTTTGTCAGTTGTCTTCGACTTTATGATGATTTTTGCCATGCAATTAAAAAATATGTTATTCTTCTGTATGGTAGGAGATATGGATCTAATTTTACTTTTTCCAAATGGTTACCCAGTTGCCTCAGCATCATTTATTAAAATGTCCACAAATATAAAGGTTTATATTTAGCACAAAGTAATTTCCTTGTGGTGGTGTATCAGCTCTGTATCTTGGTGGTGGTGGTTATATGAATCTATACATGAGCTAAAATGCATAGAAACTGTGCATACAAATGAATGCATGTAAAAAAAATGGTGAAAATGGATTAAGGCTGATAGTCTAGTTAATGGTACTGTATCAGTGTCAATTTCCTGGCTTTGATATTGTAGTACAGTTATGTAAGGTGTCACCATTGGGAGAACCTGGGTGAAGGGTACATGGGACTCTATGTATTATTTCTGCCACTTTATTTGAGTTGATAATTTCTATCAAAACTAGAAGTTTAAAAAAATTCACCTTTGCTACAGCGAGCTGAGATGGCTAGATTAAATTTTTTTAAGTACAATTTGTTAAAGTGGCAAGTCTGCTCCATTTATATTCGTCGTGATTACTGATATGTTTGGTCGACTTTTATCCTCACTTATATTCTTTTTTTTTAAAGGTTTAAAAATGTTTTTTTAATTGAAATCTACCATACATACATCAAAGTGCAAAAATCCTAAGAGTACAACTTGATTATTTATTTTATTTATTTATTTTTTTGCGGTACGCGGACCTCTCACTGTTGTGGCCTCTCCCGTTGCGGAAAACAGGCTCCGGACACGCAGGCTCAGCGGCCATGGCTCACGGGCCCAGCCGCTCTGCGGCATGTGGGATCCTCCCGGACCGGGGCACAAACCCGCGTCCCCTGCACCGGTAGGTGGACTCTCAACCACTGGGCCACCAGGGAAGCCCAGCAATTCCTTCTTTGATTCTTTACTTCCATATTCAATTTCTTTGGAAAAGAAAGTTCTTTGAGCAAGAATCTGGGAATGATAAACTTTGTCAGTTTTTTGCCTGACAATGTCTTTATTAAGCCTTTGCTCTTAAATATTTAGGTGGATTTAGGATTTTAAGTCGATATTTTCTTTCAGCACTTTGAAGGCATTGTTCCTTGTTTTCTGGCTTATCCTGTTGCTGTTTAGATTCCTGCTCTCACTATAACTAAACTGCCCAAGATCATCTTATAGTCAAATATTGCTACTGTGACTCCTGTCACACACCGACGTTCCATCTAGTTGGATTGAGGAGAAGAGAAAAGGGGCAATTTGCCAGATGTGTTTTAAGGAAAGTTCTCAGAAGCTGATCCTTCACTTACAACCCATTGGCCACCCATAGCTATTAGGGCACTGGGAAATGTAGTCTTAATTCTGGTGGCCATGTGCCTGCTATACCCCTAGCATAGGGGGCAGGACTGGTTCATTCCTGGACCCTCCCCCCAGGAGGTGCCCCACAGGGGTCTGAAGATAGAATTTGTTGGCAAACGCTTCTCCCCACTCGTACATGGCCAGGGCTTGAGGTGTTGCCTGAGGAGAAGGCCCAGGCAGCAGAACCACTCCCTTCCCCCCCCCAGAAACAGCCCCTGCCCCAGGAGTCATCTCACTCGGCCGTGTGAGAGGCTGGGCTGCTCCCTCTGGGTCCCACTTCTTCTGTCTGGACCTCAGCAGGGGCTTTTGCCCATCTCCTGGTATTCCAAGTTGTGAGATGCCAGTCCACCTCAGAGGGGCACTAAAGGAATCCTTTGGCCTCCTCCTGGAGAACTAAAAAAGGAACACTTTCTTAGTACTCTCAGGTGCTGTCTGTGTGGGGCAGGTGATTTTTCCATTTGACCTATGAAGAAGCCGAGACTCAGAGAGGTTAAGTGATTTGGGTGACGTCACACAGCTAGAGCCAGCACTCAAATTGGGGTCTCCCAGCTATTTAAAATACTGAACCACTTGAGGGCTATTCATAATACTAAACCACTTCTTTCTGGGATGGAGAAAGATTTTTGTGGCTTGAAGCAAACAAGTTTAAACTCTTGTTCTATCACATCTTTCAGGAGTGAACGAGGCAGGCAGGTTGCTGGGAGAGGGTGACAGCCCCCCAGCCTGTGGGGGGAGTCAAGGATCCAAGCAGTGAGTATTCCTGTCAGCATTTACCAAAGAGCCAGGCCGTGTGCTAAGCACAGGGGGGTATAGAGGAAAGCTGATCAGGGATGTGGTTAAGAACAACTACTTAGTGAGAAGACAGAGCTGAATTTGAGTCACCTCTAGCTGTGGGGCCTCGGGCAAGTGACTCAGTCCCTCTGAGCCTCAGTTTCCACATCTATAAAATGGAAATAATAGCACCCACCCAATAAGGCAAAGCTCTTGGCAGAATGCCTGGCACATGGCAAACCTGCAGTGAATGGTAGCTATTGGTTGTTTTTATTATCGTTACACCTTGTAGGGGAGACATATGCTGATGTATGATGGTCGAGGGAAGGATTGTGGGGACACAGAGGAGAGGGATGGGACATGTGAGCCAGGCCTTGAGGAGCAGTACATCCTCCAGGCAGAGAACCGGGCCAGCGTTTCAGACACGAATGCCTGTATACTCACAACCTC